AATGACCAGCATGGTAACCCTGTCTCTTTTGCTTTCTCTCTCTCTCTCTCTCTCTCTCTCTCTCTCTCTCTCTCATCTCATTCCCCTCCCCTCTCTTTCCAACCTCTTCTCCATCCCTCCGCTCCTCCCTTACTCACACCTTGTCCCATCATTTCTCCTCCCTCCCTCCCTCCCTCCCTCCCTCCCTGCCTCCCTCCACTTACACATATTGAACAAAATAATAATTCCTTTATCAGAGTCTGCCCTCAGTTTAATTAGGAAATCACCTGACTAAACTTGGCTAATTGTCATTCTCTGATTAAAAAACAAAAGGAGGCTGGTATACTCTTTTACAATGTCGCATGGTTATCGGCATTCACAGGAGATTGCAATCCTGGCAATCTAACGAACATGCCCCCACCAAGCTTGCACCTACCCTATTCTCAAAATACCTAGAAAAAAATCGAAAAATCCATGTCAGGATTTTCAGAATCCTTCCATATCCAAAAACATTATTTTTGATCTGCTGCCTCTGCCCTTCTAATTTCTAACAAACTCGGTGCTCGATCAAAGCTGCAAGCACTAGATCCCATCTCCCTGGGAGTAGTTCCAAACATGGTTCCACCAGGGGTTCCAACTAGGAGTTCCCACAGGGAGTTCCAGCTGAGAGAGAGTTCCAATTGCGAGTTCCAACTGTGAGTTCCAACCAGTGTTCCAACCAGTGTTCCAACTGCGAGTTCCAACTGCGAGTTCCAACCAAGAGTTCTAACAAAAGAGTTCCAGCTGCGAATTCCAACCAAGAGTTCCAACCAAGAGTTCTAACAAAAGAGTTCCAGCTGCGAGTTCCAACTGCGTGTTCCAACTAAAGAGTTCTGGCTGTGAGTTCCGGCTGCGAGTCCCAACTGCGAGTTCCAACTGCGAGTTCCAACGGCAAGTTCCAACTGCGAGTTCCACCTGAAGTTTGAAGCTCAGCCTGCAACTACATCTGCTGGCGCAAAAGTACCACAAGTCCCAACTACAGTTCTGGGTGAAGAAGTCTGGCAAGTCCCACCTGCAGTTCCAAACCAAACTGCAGCTAGCTAGTTCCAACTGAAGTCCCGCCAGTTCTTTCAACGGAAGTTCCAAGTTCTTGACTGAAGTCCGAACCATGGTTCCAAATTCAATCTGCGCTTCCAACCAGTGTATGAGCCCTAGCACGAACAAGAGACCGAGCTAGATTTCCAAAGCGAGATCCAATGGTGACCGTAGATCAAGCTTCAAGACCCCGACCTTTGGTCCTCGCCAGCTCCAAGTCCACCCAGCAGCACTACCGACAGCGCCAACGGAACCGTCAGTCAAACTTAAAAACCACCAGTTCACGGAACTAACTTCCAAAGACTCACAAGCCTGCAAGTGCGCCTTTCGAAAGCAGCTTGCCGCGTTCGGTACCACCCCACGCGCACGACTTGAAAGACTCTTTCTCTTACCTCGTAAACTGGGAAAAGTGCCGTACTCTGCTGAGGGTGAACTGGCGGCAGTTTATGCCCCAAACGGTTTCAACTTTCAACCGCTGTCAGTCAGTTCTGTTTTCACCACGGCCTTCGACAACCGTAACAAAAAAAGAAATCGGATGCGATAGCCACTTCACTTTGGTCTGATTTCACTAGCTTCGAAGATGGTGAAATGATGGGCAATCGTTTTCGCAGATTTTTGCAATTTCGATTCTCGAACGCATTTCGGGTCCATAAGATGCCCAGCAAAGCATGTGACCCGACTGTGGCAAAACACTCTGCGATACCCCGTCCTGCCCGTCACACTTGTGCAGACAAGCTGAGACAACCCTCTCTGCACCCACCGCACTAATCTGTTAACTAATGCACACAGAATCGCTGCGCTCCAAGTTTCAACCACCAATGCAACACCCTAAAATTTAAAATCCTTTCCAAGGAAGATTAAAAAAAAAATCTTATCCAAGGAAAATCCAGTTGCAATGAGAGTCAGAGCACCCTGGACAAAGGTTCTGGCCCTCGAATAAGAATTGTACGCATGTCAAATGAAAGCCGTACCCGCCCCACTCCCCAGAAAAGAAGAAGAAGAAGAAGAAGGAAATAAAGAGAAAAAACTTCAAAAAAGGAATCGTACCCATAACCTGGCCCAAAAAAAAAAAAAAAAAAAAAAAAAAAAAACCTGGCCTAACCTTTACATAGAACCCCCCCCCTGCCTGCTGCCCAACCTGCTCACCAGAGTAGCAGAGGAAGGCCAGCAATTGGTCGAGATGCCGATCCATGACGAACAACATCTCGTTGGAGTCACATCCGGAAAGCTTCCTTTTCAAATCAAACTGCTGGAGGAAATATAGAGTCCACATCACCGTTCTCTCGCTGACCATCGGGGAGTAGCAGAGGAAGTGCAGCAATCGGTCGATCTCCGACGAACAACACCTTTGAATTTCACGACTTCCAGTCCTGCAAATACACCTACAAATATACCGGTACCTACCTCACGACCGAAAAAAAAAGGGAAAAGTTGTTGATGCCCCCCGCGGCAAAACCTTTGTCAAATTTCCACCCCAAAATGGACGCGCCGTGCGGGAGGTCCCCCAAAAAAACTTTTTGTCCTTCTTGCACCCTGGCTGGGCCGGAAGATCACTTTCCCGCCTTTTTTGCACAGCGGACCCTGCTGACGTTACCGGCCCAGCCAGGCTGCAGAAACGATGCAAGGCCCCCTGAAAATACTTTCTGAGTCGTTTTTGCAGCCTGGCTGGGCCGGTAACGCCAGCAGGGCACGCTGTGCAAAAAAGGCGGGAAAGTGATCTACCGGCCCAGCCGGGGTGCAAGAAGGACAAAAAGTTTTTTTGGGGGACCTCCCGCACGGCGCGTCCATTTTGGGGTGGAAATTTGACAAAGGTTTTGCCGCGGGGGGCATCAACAACTTTTCCCCAAAAAAAACTGCACATTTCGCTCCGTAATCAGGATCCAGGGACATTGAAACACTGCGCTCCATTATCGGGATCCCTAGAGCTGATAACAATGACGTAAGTCACGAGTTCGAGTCCTGAGTGGAACATTGTACAAAGAGCTCCTCTCTTAACAAATCAAAACAAAGACCGCGGGACCATGAGAAGCAGCAGAGCGCCGTAATTATATCCAAAGGGGGTGATTCTAATAAATACGAAAGACTAATTAGTAATTATTACTACAGTGAAGATTAGCTGAAAAAACTTTTGAAAAAAGGGGTTAGAAATTAGAATCCGGGCCGTGGTCCCATTAGCAAAGAGCATCGGATTGAATCCCTGAATCTGGACTTGTTCGAGGACAGGAGCGGGAATCGAGATCGAACTGCTTTTCTGTATCTCTGCATAAAACATGGCCAGATTCAGGATTTGTATCCTATCCTCTTCGCTAGTGGGTCCACGCCCCCGACGAACCCGTTAGATTAGATTGCCGGTCAGCTGAGACGAAAAGAAAGATCGTCAGTCTACGTTCGAGTCTATGTAGTAGATCTCCTCTACAAGGGTGCCTGGTAGCTTTGCCACCGTGAGTTGTGCCTGCAGTAGAGCTTTGCCAAAGGGTGCTGCACTCTATACAGGCAGCCCGGCTTTGTGCTGTAGCGTCGTGAGTCGCACAACGAGAGAGAAATAAGACTCAGAACGGAAGCCTTCGTTTGTGCCGTAGCACCCTGAGTCGCACAACGAGAGAGAAATAAGACTCAGAACGAAAGCCTTCGTTTGTGCCGTAGCACCCTGAGCTGCACAGGGAGAGAGGATAAAGAACTGAGAAGGTAAGTGTGAAGAAGGAGAGGAGAGAGGAAGGGGTACAGGGGAAGGACAGACCCATTCATGCTTCGTCCACCATGAAAAAAAAAAAAAAAAAAAACAAATGAATGCGGATAGAACGAGGGTTGTCACACACCCTCCCCCTCTTCACGAAGAGCAATACACACACGTACAGGAAAACACGCCCACATTATTCTGGTTATAAAATCTCTGCACAGGTTCTTTTCCTGATCTGCTTGATCTGGCCGTTAATTTGCCATGCGCACACTCATACACACATGGACACACACCCCTGCTCC